GACTAACTTTTAAGCTCAACTTTTGTTACTTTTAGTTAGCATTTCATTGTTTTAGTTAGCCTTTTGATAGTTTTAGCTATAACCTTTTATCCTTCAGCTATTTTTAGTTTTTAGTTTACATTGTAGTTTTTTTGAAACAACTGTTCGCAACTCCAAAGAAAAGCATTAAGTTCCTTTCTCTAAAAAGGTAGAGAACCAAGTTTGATATAACAATACACAATGAGCCTATTTTATATTCATATATTTTTAAAGAATATGTGTCATATTACTAATTAAAATTGTTTATGTTTAGTTTTGTTTGTTGACAAGTTTGCAGTAACTCCATTATTTTTTGTAAAAATTCCAACATAATATTTACAGTATATGCTAGTTTATACCTTTTTATACCTGATGGTGGCACTTTGCTCACACACATCCTTAACCAAGCTTCCTGAGTCCCACCAATGGGATTTTTCTTTGAATAAAATGTTAAATCATATTTTTCTTCTAAGAAATGAAACACTGTAGGGATGTATTGTGCAAAACTTGGAATTTGTAATGTATTTAACATAATAATGTCTGTAACTAAAACAAATTAATGTACAGTGATGTGTAAAATAATGTGTTCAATTAAACAATAACATTTGATATCTCTGTTTTATCAAATTAAAACACAATATTCTGATGTTAAAACAGCAAATGTAAAAACAATATTCTAATAAATGTAAAATCAATTACTTGTGCATTTAATGTAATATAGCTGCACATCTGTGCAGAGATTAGGAGGCTTGTAGTTGCAGTGTGGGTGGTGGTGGTAGGCATAGTGCAGAACTGGTCCAAGGATGTTAAGGTTACTGTTAAATTCTATTTAGTTTATTTACAGATTCACCAAAACACCCYGAGGCAGATATTTATTAGAGTCGCTGATACTGAAGTATTTCTAACTCCTGTTTTAAGCGACACTTAAGGAGCCTTTTAGCAGAATATCAAAACTCATATTTCATTTATTTTCGTATGTCAACAGCAGGAGCATTTAAATATATTCCCTTTGAATCATATTCACTAAAATTCATGATTGTACGTTTAAATAAAATCTGTCATTCACAACTTCTGACTAACTTATTGCAGCTGACGTGGACATGATGACATGAAGCAGGTTTGTGATGAAGGGTGGGACAGAGGCAGCAGTGGGTTGTGTAACACTGCGGCGGTGCTGAGAAGTGGGGGTGGGGTTTTGTTAGAAGAAACATCCAACGTTAACACCAGCAGCTCAGGGCGTGGTCAGCCGTGCAGCATGAAACTGTTAAGGGCCGACTTGATGGGCCGACTTTTCTCCCTCCTGTGATGCTGACAGGGAAGGAGTTTCAGTGATTCATTTCTTAAAGTTTCACTTCTTCAGGACACATTTTCTCAGTGCTATGAACACAACATGAACATGGTAAAAGCAGATTGCACCTTTTCTTTTGTAGTAGTTCGGTGATAAAAAAATATCCACTTTGTAGAAAAAATATGTCACCTGGATTGTAGTTTTATAAATGCAGCATTTTGCAATTATACATCATTTTAAAAACTAATAAAAACACATTCAGACAGATGTGGAGAGGGTTTACCCAGGTGTTTCAGTGGTGCTATAACAGGTAAACTGACGACTAACCATGAGGCAGAGCCCCACCTGCTCTGCTCTCACACTGATTTCTCCCTCTTCATGTGAAGCTGAGTGAGAATGAAAAGAGTGGGAGAAGAGATGCCTGTTCAGGCTCATCCTTCCTTCACACCTCTGAAATGATTGGCTGAGATCTCAGTGTGTGTGTGTGTGTGTGTGTGTGTGTGTGTGTGTGTGTGTGTGTGTGTGCGCGCGTGCGTACGCTCGTGGAAGCTGGAGGACTCTCCCACCATCCCTTGTTCTGCTCTGTCAGACGGCAGCTGGGTGTGGCGGAACCCTCAGAGACAGGTTTGCAGCAGCAAACGCAGAAAAAAACACTTTCTGCTCTTGTTAGTTTCAGAAATTTCCACCTCAGCGAAGCTAACACACATTAACAATTAAATAAAATGCAGCTCTTTTTAGTTTTCA